TCTTACAAAACTAAAAGAAAACTTCCGAATACAAAAACAAGGAAAATATAAAGGAACCCGTATACGAGTTTACGGTGTGTGTGTGTGTGTTTGAGTGTATGTGTGTGTGGAAGTGTGTGTGTAATATGATGTGCTTCATTCATAAATCAGGGGTTTTGAAGTCGTAACTAAGGTAAGCGTTTCAGTGTGAAATCTATGAATTGCTTGCGAGTGCAAAAGAAAATATCGGCGTCTTTAAATTTTTTCTCGTAGGTGCTGACGATTCTGTGTAGGACTGAATTTTGGCCGTAGTTGGTATGTGCAAATCCGACGCGCAGCGATCGCATGTGTCTCGTACGGGTAGTACACGCGCAAAGACCTACTTGGGACGTAAGTTCAGGGCAGTCAACTCTAGAAGCCACTACGTCATATAAAAGTCTCATATCGGCTACTGTGCGTCTCTCTTCAAGAGTGTGCATTTCGAAATGCGCAAGACTGTCTAGGTAAGGGCCACTTCTGCAGCTGCGATAGTTGAGTCGCCTTATAAAGGTGCGCCTTATAGACAACTGTAACTCGTCAATTATCAGAATTACTATCTCCCTACCAACTCATTCTATTGTAGTCACCTGCTTCGTCCGTTGGAAAATTACTAGTTTTTCTAGTCAGCAATTTTCATTCAAATTGAAAAAACTGTTTGTCTGACCGTACGTAGACCGGCCGGTTGTGGCGTTCGCCAGAATATTCATGTGGGAGGAATAAAAGAGTAAGTAATTTGTAGCTACAGTCGGCAATTATGGCGGTTCTTACACTTGCCTTCCGTTGCTGCGCATTTTTAACGCATCAGTAACGCGCGTGTCTGTCAGATGCAATGACTTTTCGAATTCTCCATACTAAAAACCAACATCTACGCAAGCAGTACAGAAGAATTATGTAGGTACTTTAAGGGAGCAACGCATTCTAAAACCCGTCGTTGACGTAGGATTAATACAAAAACTTGCACTGGCATCTATCTCTGTTACACTTATGGTAGATGCAATTATATCTCATTTGCACAAACCGGCGTCAGGTGTGATTCCCTACGGTCGGCAATTATGTTGCTCAACATTAATGTTAATTTGAACGACGCGAAATATAACTCAGTTAATTTTGAAGGTTTGGAATCTGGTGAATTTCAGATTTTCCGGTTATTTAGCTACGAATGCTGTGTATTTTGAGTTTGTTCATTCGGAAGGATACTTATTTCGAAAATTGTTGACTGTTTTGCCTATTTGATGCTGATTAAATAAAAACATCAGCTTCATCAAATAAACATAATTTGATTTGCATTTCACGTTGGATAATTAAGACACATGATAAATTGTTATTGTGAATACGTAATGTATGTATAAGTATAATGGTTATACATTCTCTTACAAAATGTGTGGCCTACAACAGTGGCAAATATTTTAGAGGGCCAAATTACCTATGAAACTGAACAACTTTCTTCTCATAGAACATAAGCCGATATCTAAAAGAATGGGCTTCCAATACAACCTGACTCGATCGGCTAGGAAGAAAATGTACTATTCTTACTTAAATTGCATGATTTTTAAAAATTTCGTTTGACCAATGTTTCACGAGGAGAGTTATGGTACCCTTATTTTCCAAGCGTCGCGGCGTCGCGGCGGCGTCGTTGTCGCTGTCAAATGACTGCTTTGTATGGGTTTGTATGGGGATACCAGAAAGACCGGGCGTCAGCGTCAACGACGCCGCCGCGTCGCCGTCACTTTGACAGCGCGCTGAGAAGCTCAGGGTTTGTATGGGATGTGGTCGGGTTTTTCTACAAGACCGCAGCGACGTCGTTGTCGCGACGCTTGGTTTATAAGCCTACCATTATCCGGTTTCATAAGTTATTTCACCCTTTAAAATATTTGGCCACTTTCAGTACCTACTACTACCAAGCTTGTAAGAGTTTTGAAAGATGCATATACCTACCTATCTGCTTGAGCCAAAAGTAGCTTTTATGTGGGAGCTTCAGCTATCACCCCAGACGAGCCTCGGGCACTACAATGGCACTACACTGTAGGGCCACTGCTTTAAAGTTCCCTAGTTTTATCATGCAGTGCACAGAGCAAAAAAGTCTTTCGTACTTTCCTTACTCATTTTAATTAGGGTAGCATGGTTTTATAGAATTAGGGGTGCGCTTTTCGACGTTTTATTTTTGGCACTACACTGTAGGGCCACTGCTTTAAAGTTCCCTAGTTTTATCATGCAGTGCACAGAGCAAAAAAGTCTTTCGTACTTTCCTTACTCATTTTAATTAGGGTAGCATGGTTTTATAGAATTAGGGGTGCGCTTTTCGACGTTTTATTTTTGAGTTTATAACCTTTTTTTTTCAAGCTTGTAAAAGATTTGAAATACAGATGCATATACCTACCTATCTGCTTGAACTAAAAGTAGCTTTTATGTGGGAACTTCAGCCATCACCCAAGACGAGCCTCGGGCACTACAATGGCACTACACTGTAGGGCCACTGCTTTAAAGTTTCCTAGTTTTATCATGCGGTACACAGAGCAAAAAGTCTTTCCAACTTTATTTTTATAAATTAGTTAGGATAGCGCCGGCAAAAACAGTTGACTTAACAGAATGACCTAGGTGCACTTCTGGTCGGGTTTTTTGGGCAGTTTTTCTATCAAATGGGCAGATACAATGAGCGTGTGACACACTGTGGGTACCTATCCTTTAGAATTGCATAAAAGCGAGTAACGTAATTTGCACACTTGAGGGCATGGTACGAGTACATGTCGCAAATGTACGCACCAAGGGACGTTACGTGTGTTACTCGCCTTAAAATAATTTAGGGCAGAGTATCAAGTAGGTTAAATTTTTTGGTAATCAAAATATCAACTCCGAAGAAAAATCATATCCACGATTTTGTAGCTCCAGTGAGTTGATTTGAAAGCGGCAGTAAGGTAAACGCTGCCCACCCAGCGCCCAATAGTCCGAGCGACGACTGGTCTCATCCATATCTCACAAAAGAATAGAATAATTTAGCTATGTACGGGTAAAGGAGCTCGAGTACTTCGGATTGGTCGTGGTCTGCCGCGGCGAAAAAATATCTCATCGAAGAATAGAATGAAATATATCGTACCGATAGCTTGCTTGAGTCTGCCTACATATATACTGGTCTGCCTGGCCACAGCCTGGCAGTTTTCCCAGTCCGACCACTTTTACTTTTTTAGTAAAAATTTTATCTCTTCGAATAAAAGAATAAAAATATGTCGTACCGATAGCTTGCTTAAGTCTGCCTAGAAAAATACTGGTCTGCCTGACCACAGCCTGGCAGTTTTCCAGATACGACCACTTTTACTTTTTTTTGAGAAATTTTTATTTCTTCGAATAACAGAATGAAACTAAGTTGTAATAATAGTTTATTTAAAGCTGAACACATATCCCTTGGTCTGCCTGAGCTCAGTCCGGTAGTTTCTCCGATGCGATCACTTTTCCTCTCAGTAAATTTCAATTTTAAAGGACCCTGACTTTGTTTATTAGGAGGGGCTCGCCAATAAAATGAAAATTTGTCAGTGTATAGAAGTGAGATTTACAGCTGTAATCTCTCAATGTCCAGATGAAGAAAATGTTTTCCCAAGTATTGTATTTTGAAATAATTACTACGAATACATCTGAAGTTGTAGATTCTTGAAATTAACATACTTATTCTTCATCTAGACATTGAGAGATTACAGCTCTGTAAATCTCACTTCTATACACCGACAAATTTTCATTTTATTGACGGGGCCCACTCCCTAATAAACAAAGTCAGGTCCTTAAATTGAAATTTACTGAGAGTGAAAAGATCGCATCGGAGAAACTAACGGACTGAGCTCAGGCAGACCAAGGATATGTGTTCAGCTTTAAATAAACTATTATTACAACTTAGTTTTATTCTGTTATTCGAAGAAATAAAAATTTCAAAAAAGTAAAAGTGGTCGTATCTGAAAATTGCCAGGCTGTGGTCAGGCAGACCAGTATTTTTCTAGGCAGACTTAAGCAAGCTATCGGTACGACATATTTTTATTCTTTTATTCGAAGAGATAAAATTTTACTAAAAAAGTAAAAGTGGTCGGAAAAACTGCCAGGCTGTGGCCAGGCAGACCAGTATATATGTAGGCAGACTCAAGCAAGCTATCGGTACGATATAGACGGTCGTCCCCGCCGGCGGGGACGCGGAGGTCCCTAGTCGTCCCCGCCGGCGGGGACGCGGAGGTCCCTCATTTGTGCCATTCTTTGGCAACTACCGCCATATACCCGGTAGACATAGTCCGATCCGTTCTTCCCAGAACAACTCGTAAGCCCAACCGCGCCCCAGGGGCGCGATTGGGCTGGTTGTTTGAACAACCAACACACACACACTTCCGGGTGAGCTTTCCGCTCCCCAAAACTCAGCTAGGTGTAGATATCGTTGCCTAAGTAGGTAGTTATCGTAGAGACAAGTTAGGAAAAAAAAAAGTACGATATATTTTCATTCTATTCTTCGATGAGATATTTTTTACTTTTTTAAGAGGGCATACTTTTAGCTACTCCGCCAAACGTGCCAAGATAGCAGCCGGCAGACCAAGATTTATACGCTTTACTAAACTGCTCCTATCGCTACAGCCATTTGTCATTCTATTCTTCGATGAGATATTTTTAACTTTTTTCAGAGGGCAAACTTTTAGCTACTCCGCCAAACGTGCCAAGCTGCGCCGCGGCAGACCACGACCAATCCGAAGTACTCGAGCTCCTCTACCCGTACATAGCTAAATTATTCTATTCTTTTGTGAGATATGGATGAGACCAGTCGCCGCTCGGACGCCGCCTAAGCGGATTTGGGTGGCAAAACTGATTGCGCTTCCGGTTCGCGTACTTCCGCTGGTAATGCTAGTCTAGCGGTGTATGATAGGCTTTACTACAAACTTGACTAAAACTACTACATGATGTCGCTTAATCTGTCGCTTCGAGACGAGAATCAAGAGGTTTAGAAATTCATCAGGGTCCGTCAGGCGCCCGTAGCTCAGTTGACAGAGCAGTAGAACGGTACCCCACGGTCCGAGTTCAAGTCCCGGCGGTCGCAAATAAATTTTTCATTTTTCTCATTTCTAATTTATGAAAATATCAACTCCGAAGAAAAAACATATCCATTCACGATTTTCCACCTCCAGTGGGTTGATTTGAAAGCGCCAGTAAGGTAAACGCCGCCGCCCAGCGCCCAGCGCCCGCGGGCGCCTAAGCGGATTTGGGCGGCAAAACTGATTGCGCTTCCGGTTCGCGTACTTCCGCTAGTAATGCTAGGCTAGCGGTGCATGATGGACTTGACTAACAAGCAGATGTATTAAAAACAAAAACCCAACTGCGGTAATTTCAAAGTCTGAATTTATAATGTTTTTAATGTGCTTGCGCTGCTGAAACAGATCTAACGACACGCACATTATTTATAAGTATGTCCAAAATTCGCCCAGCCGTTTGGGTTGTAGCCCGTAAAAACGAATTTTATTCCTACATACATACATACCCAATTACCCACATAGGTACATACATATACTCTCGAAAAACATGACGGTAATCTCGAAAAACATATACTCTCAAAAATATATAGATGATAAAAATATATGTGCTTCAGAGGTTTTTTGGGGATACCTACTAATATATAAAGTCAACTCTGTTGGTTTGATTTGGACTAGCCACACATATAACTAGCAGATGTAGGCAGGTATAAAAAGAAAACTCGACTGCGGTAACTTCAAAGTATATTTTCACGTATAAACGCCGCCACTTTAAATTTATGAAATTTTAATAAAGCTAGTGTCACTCGCGCTAAGCCAAATCTAACGACACCTCTTACGTCTTGGCTGTAAATGTGGAAAAGAATTTCTTATCCACATACATACTCTCGACAAACATAACCCTCCTTCTGAGTCAGTAGGGTAAAATAAACTACAGTTTTAAGGATTCAGCGTGTGTATACGATGCGCAGCAAGTAGAAGCCGTCGGCAAGTAACTAGCCGCTGGTTATTGCCATAAATTAGCGCAAATTGCCGCTTGTCGAGGTGTTGCCACCGGGCAATTACGGGCAAGAAACGCAGTGCCAGTCTGTGGTGCAGCGGCCGTAGGGTAATTTGATGGTTTTGCGGAAATTTTCTTACTCGCCTTTATAAATTACTAGCCTCCACCACGAGAGTTACAAAGGTACTAAATAGGTACATACCTATTTTCATGTTGTCATCGATTGTAGATAAAAGTAACGGTACGTTAATTAACATTTAAAAAGATTTTATGTTTGAAAGTCGAAATTGTCATATGTCTTGTACAATCATGATTACATAGTATAAAATTAAGTAACTTTTTGCGTTTCTCTGTATACCTATCTGTCTGTCGTGGAAGTCGTTAACTTCTCCTAAATTAAGCAAAAACAGTTGACTTTACAGAATTACTTAGGTGTATTTCTGGGCAGTTTTTCTATCTAGTGGGCAGATACAATACCTAGGCTTCTGACACACTTTGGGTATCTATCCTATACAATTGGTTAATTAAGCGAGTAACTTAACTTGCATTCATAAAGGCATGGTTAAATTAAAGGCGCGGTGAAATTATTCTCATACAAATATGATTAATTTCAAGCTGTTTCACTGACGCATCCATCGACGAAGCGTTGTGCGAAATTTTTGCGCGAGCGGATGCGTCTTTTAAACCGTTTGACATGAAAGGTATTTGTATGAAAATAAGGTGGAAAATCGTATTTCTCAAACGCAACGAAAAGCACAGCGCAAAAATAACGCACCAAAAGACGTTACGTGTGTTTCTCGCCTTAAAACTTGACTTCAGTAATTAAGACAAAAGAATTGTAAATAGATTTAAATTGTAAGCAAAATATGCGATCATTCGTGGTAGTTCCATTTAGTAATTCCATGATGGTACGTACTACGAACTCCGAAAAAACATATCCATCCACGATTTTCTACCTCCAGTGAGTTACTACGTCCGAAGAAAAAACATATCCATCCACGATTTTCTACCTCCAGTGAGTTACTACGTCCGAAGAAAAAACATATCCATCCACGATTTTCTACCTCCAGTGAGTTACTACGTCCGAAGAAAAACATATCCATCCACGATTTTCTACCTCCAGTGAGTTACTACGTCCGAAGAAAAAACATATCCATCCACGATTTTCTACCTCCAGTGAGTTACTACGTCCGAAGAAAAAACATATCCATCCACGATTTTCTACCTCCAGTGAGTTACTACGTCCGAAGAAAAAACATATCCATCCACGATTTTCTACCTCCAGTGAGTTACTACGTCCGAAGAAAAAACATATCCATCCACGATTTTCTACCTCCAGTGAGTTGATTTGAAAGCGGCAGTAAGGTAAACGCCCCCGCCCAGCGCCCAGCGCCCGCGGCCGCCTAAGCGGATTTGGGCGGCAAAACTGATTGCGCTTCCGGTTCGCGTACATCCGCTGGTAATGCTAGTCTGGCGGTGCATGATGGACTTTACTAAAAACTTGACTAAAAGAACTACATTATGTCGCTTAATCTGCCGCTTCGAGACGAGCATCAAGAGGTTTAGAAATTCATCAGGGTACCGCCAGGCGCCCGTAGCTCAGTTGACAGAGCAGTGGGACGGTACCCCACGGTGCCGAGTTCAAGTCCCCTGAGTCGATAATAATTTTTTCAATTTTCTTTATCCTAATTTATGAAAATATCAACTCTGAAGAAAAACCATATCCATCCATTTACGATTTACCAGCTTCAGCGTGTTGATTTGAAAGCGGCAGTAAGGTAAACGCCGCCGCCCAGCGCTCAACGCCCGCGGCCGCCTAAGCGGATTTGGGCGGCAAAACTGATTGCGCTTCCGGTTCGCGTACATCCGCTGGTAATGCTAGTCTGGCGGTGCATGATGGACTTGACTAAAAACTTGACTAAAACTACTACATGATGTCACTTAATCTGCCGCTTCGAGACGAGCAACCTATTAGACTACCTAGAATCTAAACCTCTTAGAAATTAATCAGGGTCCGCCAGGCACCCGTAGCTCAGTTGAGAGAGCACTAGGACGATACCCCACGGTGCCGAGTTCAAGTCGCGCCGGTCGCTAATACATTTTTCAATTTTCTCTTTACTAATTTATGAAAATATCAACACCGAAGAAAAAACATATCCATCCACGATTTTGTACCTCCAGTGGGTTGATTTGAAAGCGGCAGTAAGGTAAACGCCCCCGCCCAGCGCCCAGCGCCCGCGGCCGCCTAAGCGGATTTGGGCGGCAAAACTGATTGCGCTTCCGGTTCGCGTACTTCCGCTGGTAATGCTAGTCTGGCGGTGCATGATGGACTTGACTAACAAGCAGATGCATTAAAAAATAAAACCTGACTTTTGAAATTTCAGTCTTGAATTTATGACTTTTTAATATAGCCAGTGTCACTCGCGCTGCTGAGACGAATCTAACGACACCACCTCACACGTCAAGATTCGCATAGCCGTTTGGCCTGTAGCTCAAGAAAAAAGATGTGGTTTAGAGGTGTTTTGTGAATATACTAACATGTAAAGTCAAGTCTGTTGGTTTGCTTTGGACTGCGCCGCCACTTTAAATTTATGAAATTTTAATAAAGCTAGTGTCACTCGCGCTGAAACTAATCTAACGACAGCTCTTACGTCTTGGCTGTAAACGTGGAAAAGAATTTCTTATCCACATACATACTCTCTAAAAACATAACCCTCCTTTTGAGGCAGTAGGGTAAAATAAACTACAGTTTCAAGGATTCAGCGAGTGTACACGATGCGCAGCAAGTAGAAGCCGGTTGCGAGTAACTAGCCGCTGGTTATTGCCATAAATTACTGCAAATTGCCGCTTGTCGAGGTGTTGCCACCGGGCAATTACGGGGCAAGAAACGCAGTGCCAGTCTGTGGTGCAGCGGCCGTAGGGTAATTTGATGGTTTTGCGGAAATTTTCTTACTCGCTTTTATAATTTACTAGAATCTACCACGAGAGTTACATAGGTACTAAGTAAATAAATAGGTACACACCTATTTTCATGTTGTCATCGCTTGTAGATAAAAGTAGAGTAACGGTACGTTGATTAACATAAAATGATTTTATGTTTGAAAGTCGAAATTGTCATATGTCTTGTACAATCATGAATACATAGTATAAAATTAACTTCCAAATCATTCAACGGATTTTGATGCGGAACAATGCCTTTTCCCGCGGGAAATTTGAGTTGTAGCGAGTAAAACCGCTAATGGGCTGCGAGTACTATCTAAAAATCTCGACTGAACGCACAGTTATCCTTAAACACTAGCACAAATTAGGGAAACAGCACGCGGGGCGCCTAGATGACTCACTCAGTAATAACGACGATTTCGACGCTAAATAACTTTAACTGGAAATAACAAGAATCTCATAGGAAGTCAAGGTAACTAAGAAGGTGGTTGACACGAACGTCATATTTCTTGGATTTAAAATCAGAGTCATATGACGTTCTTAATCAGATTTTGTTGTTTTGATATTGCCATAGATTGAGATTTTTGACAGTAGCAACCCTGGCTGTGTTTTAAGTGCCAATCGCGAAAATCCGAAATAGGGCCGAGTGAACCTTCTGTGTGACACTAGAATGTAACATCTTAATAGGCCCCCCAGCGGAGTCGCACAGACAGACAGCCATTACTAAATTACCCACTACGTTTATATTGCTCCTGAAGATTTATTGCCACTATAATTATTTGCGGTGTCATTGTTTGCGAACTGAAAGCTGTTTACAGTTCGTAAAGATTTATTTTATGTGACAGACGCGTGTAAGATCTTTTGTTTCATGTATTGTCTAGTTGTCATGTTTGTAACATGCATTCATTTGAATTAAAATATTACGTAGGTAATCTTTCACTTTAATAACAAAATAATATTTAAAATTATTCTAGTGCTTTTGTAGCAAGGATGTGTGTGTAGGTACGATATTATTTGACATTCAGTGTTTAAAACATTCAACCTGGGGTTTGGGGTTTCACTCTTTTAGATAATATTTCATCCTCATACAAGATTTCGAAATCATCGTATAAAATTCACTATTTTAAAGGG